ATATATATATATATATATATATATATATATATATATATATATATATATATATATCATAATTCAACTGAAAAAGAACTAGAATTTAATTCTGAATAAAAGCATCTCAAGTGAGACAAGTTTCAAACTATTAATACAGATCTATTAGACTTATATTAACAGTCGTTCCTTGAAACTTGTTTCAGATGAAATATTCAGATTTGAATTTAAAGCTAGCAGATTTAAATTTAAAGCTAGAGTTTTTCAGCTATAATCGTAATTGCAAACGCAACATTGCATGTATTATACGTAGGTCTAAAAAAAAACGAATCGAAATCCAGATCTGAGTATCTTACGTAAAATAAGCCTTAAGTGACGACTATTAGCACGAACCTAAGACACAAAGATATTGCTGAGACGCATTTCAGGCCCGTATTAATAGTCGTTACTTGAAACTTGTCTTGCCTGAAATACTCAGATTCGAATTTGAAGTTCGATGTAAATTTTTCAGCTCTGAATTACAATTACAAATACAACGCCACATGTGTTACGTGGTTTTTAAATAAAAAAATTTTTAATCTAGCTCTAAATTTAGATCTGAGTATCTCACGTAGGACAAGTCTCAAGTGAATACGGGCCCAAGACACAAAGATATCGCTAAAACGCATTTCAGGCCCGTATTAATAGTCGTTACTCTTGTCCCGAGCGAAATACTCGAGCCCGACTTTAGAGTTAGATGTGAATATTATCTTTCTCTCTCTCTCTCACTCACTCTCACTCTCACGTGTCAGTCAGGTCTGAGTTTTTCAGTTGCGTCTTATAATGTATGTGACATTATTCTCGCGATCGTGATTCAACTCAAAAATTCACATTTGACTCTAAATTTAAATTTGTATATCTCGCTGGAGACAAGTCTCAAATAATGCGACTATTATTAATACAGACCTCAGATATTTATGCTGTCTGAGTATTGTCGCGCAGGACGACAGCTAAAAAGAATCAAATCGATTGCGATCCCGAATTACTCAAGGATACTAGTTCTGTCGGGCAACCGGCAAGATTTTGGGCCATGAGATACTGAAATTGGCGTACTAATCCGCTCGCGCTATGCAGCTCAGCATAGTTTCTTTCCCTCTCCTTTTCCTATAGTGTCCCTCTCTCATTTTCTCCCCCCGCCCTCTCTCTCTCTCTCTGTTGCTCTTCCATGAGATGGACCCGGAATAGATTCTGGTTTCGCGAACGTCAATTGTGTACACTAGAAATAAGTCGCTGCATCTACCAGGTGTAGAAGTATGAAACCGGAATTTTTTTATACAAATAAGACGTCTGTTGTTCGAAAGTGATAAATAATACTTTATTCAAAATAATTTCCACTGTTTTGAACACATTTTTCCCACCTCTCTGGCAGTTTATGAATGCCGTGCCAAAAAAACTTTTCATCTTTTGAAGCGAACCAGTTATCTAGCCATTTTTCCACATTTTCATACGAATCGAAGCGTTGGTTAGCGAGAGCGTGTCCTAGCGATGCGAACAGGTGATAATCGGACGGAGCCAAGTCTGGAGAATAAGCCGCATGCGGTAGTAATTCCCAACTGAACGACTCGATCGTTTCCTTGACCCGTTTTGCTGTATGTGATGGGGCATTATCATGGAGCAAAATGACATTGTGTTGCCTTTTTGCATATTCTGGTCGTTTTTTAGTCAATGTTCGATTTAAATCGATCATTTGTTGTTGGTAGCGATTAGTATTGACGGTTTGACCAGGTTTCAGCAGTTCATAGTTCATAGTTCATAGTTCATAGTTCTTCGTTCCTCACGTCAAAATCACCACTTTTGAATTTTTTAAACCACTCGAAACACTGAGATTTACCAAGAGCATATTCACCGTAAGCTTCGACAAGCATTCGATGTGATTCTGCAGCAGTTTTCTTTAAATGATAACAGAAAATCAATGCTGTCCGCAAATCATAGTTAGTAGGCTCGAAACGTGACATGTTTAAGGTTATACAAAAATATACTAGAGAATGAAAGTTGGGGTTATGTTTGTTGACAATATTCGTCAGCTGTTAGGAGAATATAATAGCGCGGCAGTAGCGGTCTTACGGTCACTAAACTGAACGCTGGCACCATTTATAGGGGAATTCCGGTTTCATACTTCTACACCTGGTAAACACGCCCGCGATCAACGAACCGCATTTCGAGCGAGCCTTTCCGTGAAGTTAAACGTAAGTAGAAGACGAGATTACCTCGCGAGTTACGCCGACTCGCGAGAAAACAACTATATTTAAAATGAAATATTTTCTCATTGAGACGGAGAAAACAAACTCATTATAAACAAAAATTGTCTTTAAACCACAAAAGAAATAATTTGCTTCGACCAAAATTGAAAAGTCGACTGGGAATGATATTTTTCCAAAAATTTTACGATAACCCATACCATTTGAATCTTACACAATCAATTCCATTGAGAAGATATAGAAACTCGTTTTCTGCAATTCGGTTCTAGAGAAATTAAAAGACCGACTGGGAATGCTATTTTTCCAAACTTTTTACAAATTATATCATTGAAATCCTACACCAGCAATTCCACTAAGAAAATACAAAAAATGTTTCCTGCCATGTAATGTTTTCTGCAATCATTATCCAAATTATAAAATACTTCCTTCTTCTACTTAACATTATATAACTACTATTGTAATTATTCAGAAGCGTGTCTAAGAGGTGTTCACTGTTGAAGTTATTTCTTTCGAAATTAATTATCGCGAATTGAATCTATGTTTATAGGGACTCTCTTGTCTGTTCGACTTGAGCGGGCTTCCCAAACATTTCACAGCAAACATTTTTCACCCCCACCCAATCATTTCATATCGTCGTCGGTATCCCCGTCGTGCCATCCGGCTGGTGAAACGCGAGTGGTGGCTCGTATCTGCAGTGTCCGGGGACGGAAGTAGAATGAGTCGAAATTAAATACACGGCTGGTCAATCGGGTCGAGTCACCGTGCCGTAAAAAACAAAAATAATAATACAAAAGGAAGAAAAACATGCGTCAACTTCCTCTGCCGGAGGACCGAATTCTCTCTTTGTGTGCTTCGCGGTATATCCGGGAATGATATAACTGAATTTCACGTGGCGGCTGTGATCTGGGTTATCTCGCGATCGCGACAATTATACACGGTGTGCGGACGTTCGCAATGACCTGAATCACGGTCAAACTGTTCGAAATAGTTTCGCGAGGTATTCGCGATCGGCGGAATGAAAATCGCGCCGTACGAACCGACGCGGAAGTTACAGAGACGCGCGAGAGAAATTCAGAATTGCGATAACAACGATAACGGTAACAAGAGAATAGCTCACGCACACGATGATGACGCACGATTGATTCAACGCGTCGTCAAATTTAATACACTCGGAGAGAGAATTTTACAGTAAAAATTACTGTAGAACTTCGTAATTGACGAGTGGATCGACATTTCGCAATAATTGACTTTATTCTTCCATTTTATACGCGCTATTTATATTTTACACTAAAAAAACTTTCGCTTGGATTAATCAAATATCTGTGATGTAATGTAAACGAACCCGAAAATTCCGGTTGAAGTTGCCAGAATTCTGTCCAAATTAACCGAAAATCTTGTTAACTTGAACAAAATTTCTGGTTCGTTATATTTCACCGGACTTGTTTAACTCAATCAACCTTTTTTTTGTATACCTTAACCGAAATGTACAATTGAAAAATTTTTTATATTTCTAGACTACTATGTTCCTTACATTGAGAAACAAATATTTGGTATTTTATAACTGTAATCGCACAGAGAAATCATTTCTATAAATTATAGTCAGGAAAACTAAATTTTTTTAAATTTAATTCTACTATAATATCAATGATAATATGAACTTATATAATAAACTGATAATAAATTTATGTACACATTACTGTTATTTTATTAAAAAATATATGGTCAGGGCCAAAAATAAATATAATTTTAGTTAGGTCAATTATTTTTTCTCTCAGTGTAGAAAAGCAGAATTTATTGACAGTCTATTCCTGCACTACTAAGAACGTAGTAAAATTGAAAAGAATTTATATGTGGGAAAAAAAATATATTGCTGTCGCACATTACGTAGAAAGGAATTATATGAGCTCTTTTCACTTCTTGTTTGAAATACAGACGCATTTTCCTTACCAGAGCATAAAGAATATTACATAGAAAGAATTTTACAGTGAAAATTATTGCAGACTTTGTAATCGAGGAATAGATCGACATTCTGCAGTAATTCGTTATCCTTCCATTTC